AATCAAAAGACAAACTACAATTAAATGGTGTGAGCGGTTTTTGATCTTTTGCTTCTTTATAAACTTATTGAATCTTAAAGTTGAAACGTCGAAAAATTGAAGAAAGGTTGAAGATCTTCTCTTTATTTACAAGTAATGTTCTGAAGGATTTTGTGATCTACGAACTCGTTAACGAAATATTAAACCTACTGACGTGAACTTGAATTAGAAAATTAAACATCTTTTTTGAAACGTAAAATAATCTAAAGAATCTCGCACCATTACGTAATTGTATAAGACCAAGGCTAGATCCCTGTGGAACTCCAGTAAAGGATTGAACTTGAATTAGAAAACTTTTCAAAACTAAACAAATTTTTTGCTTTAAAACGTAAGATAATCCCTAATATCTAATAAAGAATATCAAAACTGCATATCGCTGTAATGCAATTATTTAGGACCAAGGCTAGATCCCTGTGGAACTCCAGAAAAGGATTGAACTTGAATTAGAAAACTTTCAAAACTAAACAACATTTTTGCTTTAAAACTTAAGATAATCCCTAAGATCTAATAAAGAATCTCAAGATTGCATATCGCTGTAATGTAATTATTTAAGACCAAGGATGGATCCCTGTGGAACTCCAGAAAAGGAGTGGCTCCAACAGAAAAGAAGTGTAATGTGCAAATTTTCCACTCGATTGGAAACAACATCTTCGTGTTTTTCTAATGCACCTGTACCTGTACCGATAGAGGATAGAAATGCAATGTGCAAATTATCCACATTTCACTGAAGATATTCTAGTAACGTGATTTGATTGACCTGCATACTAACCATGAAATTTTCACACAGTAAATCAGTATGCGAGGGCTTATTCGATTATTAAGATCTCATAAACTTACAGAAGATCGCAGTTGCTTGAAGCAGTCAACCCAGTCAGTGTAGACAGGCATTGCTGGCGGTTCCCCGGCAACGAGACTGTCAAATAGATAATAATATACATTATTAAATATTCCCCGATATTCACTGAGTCTGAGGCGAATAAGTGTTTTAGTATTTTTAACACAAGTGAATTTATAAATAACGGAGAGAGTTTTTTTTGTAGGCTCAAAATTTGAGGCATATGAAACTCGGACATTTTTTTCAACAATACTATGAATTTAAAAAGTACTCACCCAACATGATTAGTTATCATGACGTTAGATACCAGAGTGAACGGATAGGTGACAAGACTTGACAGCCACTTGAAATAATGACGACAAAAATCATGCATTAAGCAAAAGGGAAGGGAATGAAAGGTAGTCTTTAGCTTTGAGGTAAACAACCTAAACCATAATTCAATATTTCATCAAAGGTTTATATGTACTTTTTTTAACAAACAATAATGGAATCAAGGGTGTCGTAGTGGTAGTACACTCGTCTCTCACCCTTGGGGTCTCAGATTCAATTCTTGGACTTGGCATCACATGTGAGTAGAGTTTTAAAGGTCTCTCCCTTGATTTCAGATTTTTCTCTTGGGTCTAAATTGGGTTTGATTCCTGGACTCAGCATCACATGTGAGTAGAGTTTGTTAGGTTTCTTCCTTGATTCGAGGGTTTCTCCACCTAAATTGGGTTCGTTTTCTGGACCCAGAAATCTTATTTATTGGTCATTCCCTTTTCTTAGGGGTGGGGGAAGCGGGGATCCGTGATATTTTTTGCTGTCTTACCTGAGAAAGAGCTGTGGTGTAAATGTTGATTTCTTTTCTTGCCGCCATCTGACATGTAGAAAAGAAAGAAAAACAGTGTGTGCACTTCCTTACTGTTACTTACAACAGACCCCTTGCATGTGATGTCAAAGCAGCTCAATATGGAGAATAAAACAAACGAATTTCAATCTCCTGAGAATTGGAAACCTATTGTTATGTCCTCCAAATTGAGCTGCATTCCAAAGTGCTCCAAGGGGTCTGTACCTAGAATAGTTAATTACCTCTTTGTCCAGCCCATACTGAGTAATAAAGAAATGAAGAGTTCTATAGATCCAGAGTGACAGCACTTCTCCTACTAATCTTGGAACTACACCACTAAAAGCATAAAAAAACATATATGAAATTGTATGAAGAAGGAGAAGAAATAAGGRCATGTAAGCTACCAGTTTGGAAAATGTGAAATGCAATAACAATAATGATGATGTTGATGGTACTAGTGATTATGATGATGACAGTGATGATGGCACTAGTGACAATCTTGACCATTGATGACAATGAAGATGGTGATGATAATGATCTTAATGATGATGACACATGATGATACGATGATGATGATGATGATGATGATGATCATGAAGTACTTACTCAAAGAATCCAAAAATCCCATGGTTATTAAACACCTCTCTGATTGAGGAAAACATTCCACTAAAAAGAAAAAAGAAATGCAACTACAGCATACAGACGTTTCCTTTCATTCAGCATACAGGTATAATATTCTTATCACGTGACCACAGGTTGCATGCGCTGCTGATGTGCTGCCTCTCACCAATGCAACCCAGGTTCAAGCCCTGGCCGGTTTGTTGTTGTACAGGTATGTGAGTAGAGTTGTTTGTTGGTTCTCTCCTGTGCTTCGAGGGTATTTCCTCCGGGTTCTCCGGTTTTTCCTCCCTCCACAAAATTCAACTTCTAAATTCTAATTCGATCTATCGCCTGCCTTATAAATTGGGTCAAGCAAAGTATGTTAGGGATTAAGCTGTCCACCCAGGAGTGGTAAATGCATTAGATGTCTCACCTGTAAATAGTCTCCTTGCCAACATACTGGACTATCATTCGAACAGTGATAACTACAGTAAGGATCAAGACAAGAAAATGATTATTGAATAGATGTCATATCTACTGAAATGTTACGTTGAGTTTAGTAAATTTCCAGCAATCCCCTTTCCTCCCCCTGCAAGGTTTTTAACTAACGTCCTACTAGTTGGTTCAATGAAACGCTACAGTGTCTTGTTGATAATACTTCAGGGATGACTCACCTTGGAAGGGATGAGATACCATCACTGCTATACACTTTGCCGCTGTCTGCTTGCATGTCTGACAAGACAAAAAAACTTTTGTTACCAGAGCATTTTTCATGTTTCAACAGCCTATTATTTAGTTATCAAGACTTCATGATAGAAGTTCATATTATCATAATCACTATGTTTGCATCTCATAATAAATTTAAATCATACAAATGTTGATACTTCTGAGAATCATGAACACACCTCAATAGTAAAATCCTTTACTTCATCCTTAAATTCCTACAAAATGAGTCGAAAAGATGAAAGATGATTTTGATTTTAGAATTATCAAGTGAATCTTCATTGAAGTTTGTCAGTCTATGCATACCTTCTCTACTGGTTCAAGACCAAATGATTCACTTAATGGATCATCCTTACTTTGAAGAGCCTGGTAAAAAAAAAAGAATTAGTCTTAATGAGTAAAAAGAAACTACAGACACCGATAAGATATGTTCCTCTTTACAGCGCTTCTCAATCGCACGCACGAAATAGTGGGGGAAAATTTAGAGACATAATAGGGTTTTGGTGGACGCCAATCAAAGTGTTTCCAAGCATTATCGGAACACACAAAGCTCTTAAGGGCACGTTCCTATGGAATGTCATGGAAACACATTGATTGAAGTCCACCAAAACCTACTTTGTCACGATGGCAAATTGTACGATTTCACATAGGTGATTGAGAAGCCCTGTAAGGGATCCAGGTATGGATATTTTCTTTAACTACAAAACATACATGTATACTCTCTGAAGACACTCCTCACTCCTTGGAAATTCCAAACCTTTCCATTAACAGAGTTATAGAGTTTTGGGGGGTAAAACATAAAACATAAAATCGTACCCTACTCAGACGTCCCTTCCCACTCCTTGTAAATTCCAATTCCCTTCATGGCAGAGGTATAGATGCAACGTACCCACCTCAGACCCTCCCCACCACTTAGAAATTCCAATTCCCCTTCATGGAGTAGGTATGGATATTTTCTTTGGCCACACTTTTTCAGAAACACTTACCTCTAATGTTGCATCATTCACAAAAGAGCCAATGACCCCACAGACTAATCTACAAGCAAAAAATCATATTGGAAGAATTTTTAGCATTTAGATATAATGTTGAAATAATCATAAAATATTAAGGTTAAGATTCTGTAAAAGTGTTAATTAGCATCAGTAAAGGCGTGCAAGTCAGTGCATGATGGATAAATAAAATAAAATAAAATAAATAAATTAACTTTGTTTATAGAGGATAACACTTGACAGTAATTCAACTGATAAACTTGTGTTCCTCTGTTAACATCTCTAGTTAATTAGGGATGGGACCACCATTAACGTGATCATCCGAGCCACGTGAAGGTCTAACCATTTGCAGATGTAATTACAAAGGCAGCACCTTCTCCTCAGTTATTTTAAGACCCTGAGTGTTGGTCCGGCTGAGGCTTGAACCACGACCTCCTACACTAAAGTCTGATGCTCTTACCAACTGAGCTGACCGGGTGGATATGGTAATGGGGGTGTCAAGTTATAAACAAAGGGTTGATTGCAAAATAGAAAAACATTTTGGAAAGAGTTATTCAATAGTCTCTTCTGTCGTAAAGGCTAGATTCATTGAAAATTGCATGTAAAATGTGAAGGGGTGTCAGGTAAGGTGATTGAATGTATACCTCGGTACAAGTCCTCTGTAAAGTCCAAAAAAACCATCTGTCTTCTTGATGTGTTTGCCTGACCATTAGCAATAATAATAACTCATTAATTATAACCATTATGATATTGATCAAAACAATCAGGACGGATCCAGGAATTGGGATCAGAAAACTTCAGCATTATAAGAACATCTATGACTAATCAAACTGAAAATGACAATAACTACCTTAGATGGCAGGAACAATGCAATCGTTTTACATGAGAAAAAATCTAATTCCTGAGAGCAAAGGGATTTTATTATTCTGCCATCTAACCACAGGCAGCCTAAGCAGTATCATTGGCACTGGCACTTGATGGTGCAAAACCCATATATAGCACTTACATATATTTATATAAATTGCAAAACTTGTCTTTCATTGTGGTTGCACACAAGTTCAAGTCAGAGGTTCTAAAGTGTATTGGGGCTTAAATAAATGAATTATTAAGAAATGGTGTTCGTTACCATATTCAAGTAGGCCAGGAAGCTTCATCACCGGATTGCCAAAAATAGTTTTGGAAGCAACTGCTGGCAAGGGTTCATGACCAACCTGAAGCAAAAGCAAAGCTCTATCAAATGATACTTGACAATGAATCTTTTAGATTATATGGATCAATGTGTTATAATAATGTATAGTTATTTGTAACATCACACTCCCTGATTTGCTATTGTCCCCCCCCCCCCCCCCCAGTCATAGATTTAAAACCATTTCTACACTAACATGTCCAACACACCCCACAAGTCTGGGTTTGTAACTATTGTAAATCAAAAAATACCATGGGATAGTAATTAATGTGTGTGAAAATTTTGAACTTTGATTGACAGATGCCAAAAACCTAGACATCTCAAACTATAGATAGTTGTATTGGACAGCTACTGAAAATAGGTTGAATGTTCTACCAATGCATGGTATTTTATCTTGGCTTGGAGTGGGATGGCTCATTCATGCTATCTAAGTTAAACAGGAAGTGTGAATGACTAGAAAAAATGAATTATTAATTGCTCAAAGTTCATAAAAATTATTATTTTTAATTCCTTATTTCATGTAATTTACGAATATATTGATTCAAATTATAAAATTGCAAAGATTTGAGAGCTTTTCCTGAATATTATAAACGTACAAGATGGTACTTCAGATCACTCTGACTTTGTCATTGCATATATATCCTCAAAAGAAACCTCTGTTTGAGGTGAAAAAAACATATATATCTTACCACTAACCTGAACTAGAACTTTAACAGTAGTTAGAGGATGAGTTGCGGTGTTTAATGCCAGGGAAAGCATCAAGGAAAGTCCTGGACTTTTGTCATTTTTGTCAGGTGGATATCCTGGGTATCTCATCCCCGCCATTTTGAATCCGGCTTGTTACTACTTCTCCCAGGCGTTCCATGCTTGTCCTTTACAATCTGGAGACTAGAAACTAACGCTTTATTTTTTTATCTTTATACAATTCTTGTAAATAAATATTAAAAAAATAGAAAAAAAATATTTAAAAATTCAAAAAAATAAAAGCGCTTTTTTCAAAATAAAGTAAATAAGTTATCAAATTTATTTGTTGTAGCGTTTGAATAAATTCCCTGTAAGTTGGGTATCCTGTGTTATTTATGACCTTCTGAGGAAAACAAGATGGCGGCCGAAGTGAGGAGCTTGTTAAGCGGTGTTTGTAGTTCAGGGAACCATAAAGACGCTATGGGAAAATACAGAGATATTCTTACTAAGATTATTAAATTTCCCGAGCCTCGTCTTACCGATGGCATGAAGGTTTTTATCGAAGCAGGTAAAATTAGTCAAGATTTTATAAACATAAATTTGAGTCGGTTTGAAAGAAAATTTTGAAAGAGGTCATTGGAGGGATAAATGTGAAGAATTTTAAACAAAAATAACTTATCTGTGGTTATTTCTGATATTTTTATCTTTCAGTGGCGTCTGAGGGAGTAAGTTTGGTCGTTTCGAGGCAGATTTTCACTGAACTTTGTAATAATTTGCCAAATATTGACAATACTTCTGCTAAGAATATTTCACATTTTGCACTGGATAAACTACAGCCAAGGGTTATTTCTTTTGAAGAGCAGGTAAAACGCCCATCAGTTCTTCCATTTATTCTTGCATCCATCCATTGATCTACCCATTCATTCCCATACCCATTCATTGTTCTATCCATTCACTGATCCATCCATCTGTCCATTGGTCCATTTAGCCATCCATCCGTCTGTCCACTTATGCATCCATCCATTCATCACTTAATCTAACACCATTCATCTCATCCCTAACCCATCCTTCCATACATGCCTGCATCCATCTTTCATTGATAATTCTCTCTTTCATTTTTTAATTCTTTTAGTAAATGCATTGTTTTACCATTTAGTCATTCATTTGTTCATTTCTTCACTCAGTTAAAAAAAACTAAATATTTACATAATGGTGGTGTGTATCGTCATTATTCAAGGTTGCTTCAATACGTCAGCATCTTGCAAAGCTCTATGAAGAAGCACAGGAGTGGAATGCAGCAGCTAAAGTATTAACCGGCATCCCATTAGAGACAGGACAAAGGTAAAATGTGCAGATTACCCCAAGGCTCTGCCATGGGACCACTTGTACCCCTGTACCTTATGGATCCTCGTACTTGTAGACCTTAAAAACTTGGGGCTTAGCTGATAAGATTCAAATTAAATGGTAATAATAGAAATCTTATGGTTGAAGAATGAAAAGGAATTGGATTGTGGAAAGAACCCGGAGGGGAGGGGGGGATTGACATCCTTGAAGTAGAGGGTAACAATAATGGTTTTTAATAACATTTTTCAGGCAATATTCAGTAGATTACAAGCTAGAAACATACCTCAGAATAGCACAGCTGTACCTGGAAGATGATGATCCTGTTCAAGCTGACGCTTATCTCAATCGAGCATCCCTACTCCATGCAGACACAAAAAATGAAAGTCTACAAATCCTTTATAAGGTTAATCAGCTGTATTTTCATATAAAATTAGATTGAAATCATGCATTTATTTATGACTTTTAAAGCACTTGAAACTGTGGATTTCAGGGTTTATCAAACACGTCATTTTCTTGAGTAATGTTTTTTTCATTAATGGTGTACTAGCTTGAAAGTATGCAATGTACCTTTTTTTTCTCTTGTCGGTCAGCTGGTCATTTGTTGGCCAGTCAGTCAGTCAATTAATCAACCTAGTTATGAAAATATGACCCAAACTGCTATTCCTATTGCTGTTTATCAAATGTTGCAGGTTTGCTATGCTCGTGTTCTGGACTATCGGCGCAAGTTCATAGAAGCTGCTCAAAGATACATTGACTTGTCATACAGAACAGCAATCCATGAAGATGAGCGAATGACAGCTCTTAAACATGCCTTGATATGCACAGTCTTGGCATCAGCAGGTATTTTTATGGCAAAGAGCTGCAACTTCTCCTTCCACACCCTGGTTATAAACCCATCAAGAATCCTTAGGAATGAGTATAAAGCCCCTGTTATATGACGAAACGCTATCCAACCTTCATACATCCAGGCCCAGATTATTACATCAGGCTAATAAAGAATTGTTTTCTGTTTTTATCTACAGGTCAACAGAGATCTAGAATGTTAGCAAATTTATTCAAAGATGAGAGATGTCAGCATCTACCAGCATATGGCATACTGGAAAAGATGTAAGCCTGTCTTTGTGTTTATGTAAAATTTAATGTCAAATCTAAAACACTCCAATGCACCTTACATACATTTGGCTAAAAACGTTTTCTCTTTGATTGGACAAAAGTAATTGCATTATATTTTGAATGCAGGTATCTTGACAGGATCATTCGCAGCCCAGAACTCAAGGAATTTGCAACCATGTTGATGCCACACCACAAAGCAACTACTGCTGATGGTAATATAATGAATATCTAGCCATGAGAGGGAATTTGCCTTAGGGACTTCTAGCATGACATTCTTACTAGGTACCGAACACCACAAACTACAGTTCAACGTCAGGTGCTTTCCATCAAACTTTCAACATTTATCAAGGCATCATAACGAAGTTGTTGCTGGAAGAGCTGCCATCTTGAATTTCATTGATGCTGAGTGTTTATCTGTGTTTGCATGCCACTGTTTCGGACACGATTTTTAAAAAATTTCAACATGATATTGAATTAGACTAAGTCAAAAGAATGCTCTTTCTTAGCACTAATGCTGTTCAAGCTTTCACTAAAACTCATTTTTATTTTAATCAAACTCAGGTTCTACTATCCTTGACCGTGCTGTTATCGAACACAATTTACTGTCGGCAAGTAAATTATATAACAACATTGGATTCGTGGAACTTGGTTCATTATTGGAAATACCTCCAGAAAAGGTAGGGGCAGGGCAGAAAGATAACCTTCATATTGTATGAATACCCTGAAACAATCTCTGGGCTGATCTAAGTCAGGGCATGGCTAACTCACAGATTGAACCCTGAAACAATCTCTGGGCTGATCTAAGTCAGGGCATGGCTAACTCACAGAT